TACAATGGTGAGTTGGAAGCACTAACTCAGGCAATTGAATATGCTAGCAAAAGGGCTGAAAATGGTCATCACTTTGAAATATACTCCGACAACCAGGCAGCAATATTTCGGCTGGCCAACCTATCTGATAATCCTAGACAGTCTTGCCAAATAAGGGCTATGACAGCATCTGAAAGAATCATGAGAAAAAATGCTACTGTGTCATTAAACTGGATCCCAGGACATTCTGGTATCAAGGGTAATGAAGTAGCAGATAAATTAGCAAAAGAAGCATCTAGAATGCTCCCTGCAACAATGGAAACAAGTTTTGCCATGATGGGATCCAGATTAAAAAGTGAAATTCGCCTCCAATAGATGGAATATCTCAGACAGAACGACCTTAGGTTACAACTGAATCCATTATCATATAGAAAAAAATTCAATTGGAAAATCAGCCCGAAAATCCAGGTGCCAAATGGATCAAAAAGAAAAACAGTTAGTGCCTACTTCCAACTCAAACTAGGACATGGCTATAATAAAGCATATTTATATCAACATGGATTAAGTACAGAGGACAAATGCAGCTGTGGCAAGCGACAAACACCAGAACACTTATTACTAAGCTGTAGTAATTATAAACATAAACAAAAAGAGATGAAAGAGAAGTTGAATGGAAATCCCCTGAGCTTGAAGTTGCTACTTCACACTAAAAGAGGAGCTGAAGCAACCATTGCATATATGAATAGCACTGAAATATCTACTCGGGTATGGCACCTTGGTAGTAGCAAGACAAACTCTGGAGTGGAGTAATATAAATTGAAAGAAGTGGGACACTTTACTCCTTAAGCAGTAGTTGGCGCTGGGAAAAAACAGGGTCAAAAATAAAAAAATATAATATAATTTAAATACTATACAGGACTTGTTCCTCACTATCTATAAGAAAATGTTGGGAATTTAAATGGTTGAATCTATCAAAATTTGTTAGTCTCTTTCATTTAGAAGCTAGAAGTCCTCTATAGTCGTAGACTCAGATAGGACTATAATAAAATCTAATCTAATCTAACCGTGTTATCGTGCTGCGTGAAGGATAAATTGCAGCTTTCAAGGAATAAATCAGAAAGCCGGGGAGTAATATGATTGGTGTATGATCTGGGAATGTACACTTGCGCTGGAACAGCTAAGATAGTTTGTGGAGAGATATCCTCATTGATTTGAAGTTTTTATGATGATTGCTATGTTATAGATTGGGGGAAGCTCGTCCCTTATCCCGTAGCTTGTTCGCCTGTAGATCGATCACGTTACCAGTGTGCTGCAAACCAAATTGTGATGTGTGTGTGTGTTTTTATTGCACTATTTGAGTCTATGACTATCTAGCACATTGGGCTCCTCTCTGACCCAGGCCACATCTCGTACAGTGCTCCTATCCTCTTTTGTTACTTGAAAGATCATTGATATATTCCCCTTGATGAATAGCCATTCAGCTCAGTATTTACCCGTGGAATTCAGCCACCTTTTCCACAGAACTTTCTACCAAAAAAAATAAAAATGGTAGCAGTGGAAACTGCGTGCGCGGGAAAAAGTCTCAAAAAACCTGCAGCCCCAGCCAGGCGAGGCCTAGACACCGGGACCACATGAGGTGCGCATATTCATCTATATCTCCCTTCTTTGTAACAGTCGAGGTCGACTTGATCCAATCCGCCATCTCCGTATCGGGTGCTGGGTACGCTCCGGAAACTCATCGGATGGCTTTTCCTCCATGATCAAGGGTTGGTGATAAGAAGGGCTCCGACCCTACCATCTGATCTGATCGTGGTTAGCCTCATAAAAATGGTGATAGGGGAATGTGTTGAGGGGTGAAGACGATACAGACCGCGAAAGCGATTGGGAATCCTCGTCGAAGTGGGGACTTTGTTACTCAATCTCGGCTCTGCAGACTCTACAGTGAGAGCTGGAGGTTCGTAGGGGACACCATTGACAGGTGTTAAGAATAGTCCCCCTCCCAAATTGTGATCCCAATTGGGCAGCTATGGCATCTGTTCTATATCAAAAACCCATCTCTCATGCTGCTCACAGTACTACTTATAATGCCGATATGTAGAGATAGGATCTGCTTTATGCGCCATAATGCCATACTGCCATAATTACTACCTATGCATCAGCTACTAGATCTACCATACGACATAGCTGAGCATAAGAGGGGGTTTTCCATCGAGAATTTGAATTTGAAGTCTTTTACGTGATAGGTTGAAGCCAACGTGTATTTAGACGTGACACGGGTAGATGAGCTCTGAGAGCACATTGCTACCTACATGAGCGGCGGTGAGGAGGGCAAGACTGAACACCTGTACGCGGTGTCCTCTACGAACCTGGGAGTGAAATATTCTCCCAGAGCCAAGTTCAGTCAAATTTCGCAATACCGAACAAGTTGGCCCACGAGGCAATGATTCAAATTACTCCACCACCTCAAATCCTCACTCCCAACGAGATCGATTCCTACCTAAACCTCATCAAGTTTACAAGTACGACCTAGTACATCCTCATTCCAATGACCACACCTCTTTTCGACTTTCTCTGGCCTTAGATGGTCGCCAGATACACGCCCACGCCGATATTTACACCCGACGGGGGAAGCAAAGCAAGGCGCACAAATTTGGAAGACAATTCCTTGGGATGGATGTGAGAAAGATCAGGACAAGTTGATAAGATGATGCAGAGGATGGATACAGTCTCGACGGGTGTGGAATTTTGAATTTTGGCAGGGAGTTTTAACAAATTGAGCTTTGTGCGTGCCAAGTCCTTGACTGCGAGAGTGCAGGCGACACTATAAACACCGCCATGGCTGGATGGTGCGGTGGTCTTTCGTCTTTGCCGGTCTGCCAAGTAGAGTCTTAATATCTTGGACATATATCCCACTCGAGACAGTGGATCCCTGGTTCAAATCCAGCAAAACACAACCACTTCTCTCGCGGCGCTGGTATGCATGGAGGAAGAAGGCATGCTTGGATAACCAAAGGTTTCGAGATTCCCTTCGGTGGGTACTAACGGAGGAGGTTCGATTGTTTGTGTAAGCGAACATACCTCATAGTGGTATTTGCAAATGAAATCCAGAGTATGAGTGTCTCCAAGGTCAAAAGAGTCATCCCACATGTATAAATAGCACCGGTCATGTGTCATAGCTAGATAGCTGAATACACATCAAATGATTCAAAAAAAAAAAAGAGCGGCGGTGAAGCCAGAAGCGACAAAAGAGAAAAAGAAAAAAAAAGGTACAGTAAATGTCTGAGTTACGGTGCCTTGCGCCGCATCCCTATATTCCAAACCCATCTCCTCTTGAATTGGAAACAATCTCAGCATGTTCACCTCCCACCCTGTTCATTCTTCGGCAGACTACAATATCTGCTTGTAGTTTGGAATTAGATGAACTTCTGCCATCCCTTCTCCCCTATCATTTCTCTGGCCTCAGGTGAGACCATTTTCTCACAGCCTCTCCAACGATGCAAAGCAGGTCGGCACTCTGAAAAATGCCAGGGCCTTTTCTCTCGGCCGCAAACGCATTTCAGATCTTCATGTTCGGGGTTGAAACGTCGATGGTAGTCGGCGTAGTCCCCGTGGCCTGTTCTTGCCGCAATAAGACGGTGGTACGCTCATCTTGGTAGAGCTAGTTCCGGTGGTCTTTTGCAACGCATGAGTAGGTCTAGATCTTTGTATCGCTTCGGTCGATACTTCTGCCATCACCCTCCACGAGCTCTTGGCCGCGTTGTCTAGCCCACCTCCTCAATGCCGCAAATGTTAGATCTTGATCTTCTCCACTGCGCGTAGCTGAGGTTAGTGATTCGTCATTGAGAGCTACCAAGACCAATTTGGCCAGCTTACGTTTACACCGAGAGTTAATCTCTTATGTAAATATATAGATAGGTTTACAGCCACTTGCATAGGCCTATGGGCGCCTAATCAGGTCAAGGAGATCAAATTCAAAAATATAAAGAAATAAAAATAAAACTTCACCAGTCGGCAGAATAGTTCATGCATAGTTGTGCCGAGCAAATACCTGGTCAACCTCGATAATCACTTACATGCCTCGAAGAAGGCGGATCCTACCCCCTTTAGATCTCACCGTGATACTTAGGCTCTGTGTCTCTCACACTATAAATGTCGCGCACACCTCTCTTTCTTTCATGGACTGTTTTATCTCTGGAATATTGCGCCCATTTCATTGCATGATTTTTCCAACGCATAACAACTGACGAATTGGTACAAAAGGGCTAGACGAACGAAAGAGATGGTATGAAAGAAGTCTAGAGGGTAGATCAGCATGGAGCACTGTACAGTTTTTCGGCAAAACTCATGTATCTTGGCGGTCTTTTTTATTGACTGAAAGGAGACAAATACTGTAAAAAATAGACCATATCTTTCAAATAATCATTCATTCTATTGCTACATGAGATAACGCCTAAAGTGAGCAATTTACAACACACAAACGAGCACACCTCAATAGGTCCATCAGGCAAAAGCAAAGGATAACTGCTCAATATTTTGGACAGGGAAATATCTCTGGTCAGGAGTATTGGAAATTCGGTATGGGTCCGACGATTAAGGCGGCTCAATGAAGTGATTATCGTTGATTTCGGTCGTGAGCCAGATGTGAAAATCTTTGTTATTCCAATCCTAAGAAAACTTCAAGCATACAGGGTATGAAATTCCAACAAAAATCATGGATTTTCCCACACGTAGATGTGCTGTGTGCTTTGATTAGTGTTTGTTATTCTGTATCTTGAACTGCAAGTTATTTATTTCCAGCGTATGTTTATATTTAGAGTTCAAGAGATCATGTCAATCACGATCAACGTATGTAGTCTTAGGATCCCGGGCGAAATAGGTATCATGTCGTTTTTTCTGATTTATCATTTTTAATTAAAAATTCACCATGACTGTCACAAGTCAGGCTCCCAGCTACCGGACACCATTCCAAGACGAGCAGCTTTTATTTCTCACCCGACGGACAAATACGATGTAGCCTCCAATTACACAGTGATGGCTTGATTCATTTCGGGAATTTTTTTCAAATTCAGAGATGCGATATCACTGATAAGTCGGTTGCTTTCTTGTTGAAACGCCTTTGTGCCTCTAAAGCAGTTCATAAAACAACATTCAAGATTGTTTTCATAACATTTAAATTCATGAACAATTCTCATCACGGGATTAAGCACTTTGTAATGGTTGGAGATGAAGAGAGTTATCTTATCCCCACTTATCTTTTCTGATCCAATGAACGTTTCTGGCCACCATGGGGAGTTTGAACCATCTTTTACGAATACATGTAGATGACCCATATACCATGCAACGGCGTAGAGCTGAGCCTCGTGTACGAAAAGTGCCATCATTTGGCCTGGAAAGACGATATTACTTATGTCCACTAGTTTGTCAAATTCCACCTCATAACCTCCCTTGGAGTGTTCCGGCGCAAAATGGCGATAAAGGCCTGTTATCTTAATCTTTTTTTGATAGGCGAGACTAATTAGACCCAAATCCGAACAAACTTTCATTTCATGTATTTTCGAGAGTAGTATTTTAGGTGGCTTCTCTAACCAATGTGACGAGATTCCGAGGAGACTACGAGATTTCTTTTTTCGCGATCCAGAATAACGGTTAGACGGATCAGACAGATCAGACGGATCAGACGGATCAGACGGATCGGAAGAACTAAGTCGTGTATACCCAGCAGGTGATACATATTTCTGTGATGACTCCTCTGTCTGATGCGATAAATTTTCGAGCAAACCCAGACAATCTTCCGCCGCCTTATCGGCACCACCAAGCCCCATATGAGTATTATCATAAGCACTTTTTAGACCTTTAGTTACATGTTTTATCAGATTATTTCTTGACAAATTATGGGAACAATACGCCCTTGCGTATGTGCCGGGCCCTGTGATATCGCCTTGCGTCGTTTTTATTCCCGTTCCCGAGTCAACAACTGGAAAATATTGGTCAGATTCAGGCTTAAAAACATCGTAGTATGCGCCTATAGGTCCAGCTTTAACTATAGCCAACCGCTTTGTACTCTCTAGACCTTCTCGAGGTATCAAAAGGAATGCGTATAGACAGCGCATATTGGCCTGAAATGTTTGGATACGGCTGCGCTTTAGAGAAGACTGGTCACGAATTCGCTCAGCTGAAAGAACTTTGAAAACTGCTAATTTTTTATGAGGTGGTGTTTTGTCAAACTCCCTTTAGAGAATGTCGAGATAAAAGAGCCCAAAGTCGCTGGTTAATATTCCCGAAAATCGGAAGATGAAGAAATATGCTTTAAGTAGTAGATGACGCATCCTTTGCAGTCCCATAATTATTTAGGGATTGTTTGTTGAGCCCCATACTATTGATCCTCCACGAGTCGTGGTTGATGAATCATCAATTTATCCATCTAACCATCAAAAGATATCCGATCATTATTGGAAGAGTATAACATCTATTAGATTTGATGACAATTAAATAGAATAATTGAGACAAATTTTCGACCAAATATCAACAATCTGGGTTTACTTTACTCACTACCAACTCGAGTTCATTGCCGCGCATTATTTGAGGACTGGCCTTCGATATTCGTGTCTAGTATGTCTCGAGGAAAGGAAATTATTGATTGATTACACGAACGTATTTTTGTTCATTTTCTTTGGTCAAATGTAAAGGAAACAAGTTATATCTCTATTTGCAGGCGTTAAATACCCTACCTTATCTCCTTCAAAGCTCCCATGCAACGATCCCACACTTGACAACTCTTCGTCTGCTGCTGCTATTAGATTATCTCTTTGACCATCATATGCTCTGCTCGCCAACTGCTAAAATGGAGGCCACTTTCAGATATATGTCATTGGCGAAAAGTCAGGGAGGCTACTAGGGCTGGGGTCTCGCTTTTGACAGAATTAAAATTAAATAGGAAGATTTTCTTACTTTTCCAAAGTGTTCAGTGAGCTGGGAGTGCTTAGTTATGGTAGTCTGCGTAAACCTCGTTAGATTAGCCTCTGCCCTACTCGTTTCCTTTCATTACTGTGAGTGAAATGGCCCCCAGTGAAAAATCAATGTCATGTTGAATTGCTTGAAATTCCTTGATGGAAACTTTCTAACATGACGGCACAGTTTGTATCTCCTCGGGCACGCATAAGCCTGTAGGAGGACGAAAACTCGACTTCTGTCAATGGTGCCCCGTACGAACCTCTTGCTCTCGCTGTAGAGTTTACATAGCCGAGATGGAGTGACACGGATTTCTTCACTTCACTGAGTATTCTGAATCGCTTTTGTGGTCTGCATCGTCTTAATCTCTCAGCAAATCCTCCTGGCGCCGTCCATCTGAAGCTATCTACGATAAGATCAGATGGTAGGCTCGAAGTTCTACTCATCACCCACATTTTGCATGTAGGAGAAGTGTTAAATTTGGTGCTATGCTGCAATGAAAACTATCATCAAGATGGAACGTGGAAGCTTGCAAGCATTACGAGCCAGGTTCGTGATTACTCATACTTCGACCAGCCACACAATGATCTGGTTTAAGCAAGTAAATCGTCCCCTTTCGCTTCATGGTAACAAATTAAAAATCATTCAATATTTCTGATTTAGCGCCTTGAGGCCCATGCGGCTTCTCTCGGAAGATGTGTACTTTAAGTAGGATGACTCAATTTGACGTTTAGAACACTCACACTCAGATTTCATCTGCAGATACCAATCGATGTTAACCCTTACGGTGTATAACCTGCTCCGTGCATACCCACCGCTGGGAAGAGCGTGAAAACGCTAAGTTCATCCGAGTGTGCTTTCATCATCGCACAAGTACAATAACACTGCGAGAGAGAATGGTGTGTGGGTTATACTGGATTTGGACTAGCTTTCTCCCGTCTAAAATGGGGAAGGTGTTTAAGCTGCCCAGTATCTACTAGGGAGAACGGTCCGAATATTGTACCACTGCACCATTCAACCCGCTAAAAGGTAATAACTAGTTTATATAGCACCCTGACACTGAGTGGGCTTAATCAACAACTTTCCAATATACTTTTCAGACTCTTCAATCTCCCACCTCGCTACGCTAGGTGATAATAAACATAAGCCTAACAGCTTAAGGTTATCTACTCAGCTTCCATTATATCCGGTCGACTTCTCGGAGCAGAGGTATTCGACGCGGAGGTTGTAGGCGCCACGAAAGCCTTGGAGGCTACATTAACAGTGAGAGAAGACCTACCGATGCGCATTCTTCTGGACAATCAACCGGCTACTCGGGCGCTCGAAAGAGGAAGATCTAGTTCCTCGCAGGCAGTGTAGGATAAGTTTTCCTCGCCGAGACACAATAAGCGTGTGGAAATACGCTGAATACCTGGTCATGTGGGGATTCAAGGCAATGAAAAGGCCGATAAGCTGGCCAAATTAGCCTTGGGAGCTCCTAATAACTGGTCACTGACCTCAGCTGCGCTCAGTGGAGAAGATCAACATCTAACCTTCGCGGCACTAGGGAGACTAGTTAAAATGCGGGGTCAAGGACTCGTGGAAGAGTGGTAGCAGAAGTATCGACCGAAGCGATACAAAGATCTGGACCTCTTCATGCGCTGTAAATAACTACTGGCGTTCCCCCGGGTGGGTATTCACGGATGAGGGTTGACTTGGGATGAAGAAAAAGCCACCATAACTTCGCAGTGGTACTTGCAAATGAAATCCGAGGCATGAGTGCTCCTCTTGTAAATTGAGTCATTTTTTCTGTACTTTTCTCTGATATTGTGTCATAGCTAGATAGCTGCATACGCAATTAAAATCTGATGCAAAAAAAAAATAAAAAATAAACACCGGAACTGGCTCTACCGAGATGGGCGAACCACCGCCTGATTGCGGCAAGGACTGGCCACGGGGACTACGCCGACTACCATCGATGTTTCAACCCCGAACATGAAGATCTGAAATGCGTTTGCGGCCGAGAGAAAAGGCCCTGGCATTTTTCAGAGTGCCGACCTGCTTTGCAATGTAGGAGAAGCTGTAAGAAAATGGCCCCACCCGAGGCCAGGGAAATGATAGGAGAGAAGGGATGGCAGAAGTTCATCCAATTCCTAACTACAAGCAGATATTGTAGTCTACCGAAGAATGAACAGGGTGGGAGGTGAACATGCTGAGACGGATTCCAACACGGGATGAAATGTACTTGGAAGATAGGGATGCAGCGCAGGGCTCTGTTACTCAGGTATTTATTGTTCCTCTTTATTTATTATATAGCTTCTGGCTTTAATGCCGGTAATGTAGGTAGTAATGAGCTTTCAGAGCCCATCTACCCGTGTCACGTCTAAACAGATGTTAGGTTCGTCCTGTCACGTTAAAGATTTCAAATTCAACTTCCATTATAATTAGAAGCCATCTGTTGTAGCTAAGGCGACTGTCGGGAATCGGAAGACAATGGACTATTATGTCGAAGGCTAAGAATAACTACCGAAGAAGTTGGACAGGGAAATGTCTCGGGTCAAAAATAGGGACTGTCCATATGTTGTGGATATCGTGAGCATGACTTGTAAACTTCTATTTATAATAGATACAAGGTCAATGATAGATATCTTGGTAGGGCCGGCAAACCACCACGCATGACGAGTTTGAGACAGAGTCAAATTTGCTTGTGTGAAGCATCCGGGTTAGGAAGTCGCAGCCAAGGAGTATCATATATACTTTGCATTTTGTCATAGTTTTGAACCTAGGGTCTAGTGATACGTAGGCAACGGAAGATGAAACTGAGTCAATAAGCCTCAGTTTAAGATCAAGTAGTACTGGCGTAGTCATGTGGGATAAAGGCTAGCACAAGAGACTTGTGTATGATATAGCGATATCTTCATGTTCAGATAGAAGTAACCAAAAGCAAGCAATCAATCGAATATTATCGGGATCATTATTCATATCATTCTAGTATCATCAATTACACAATACTATTCCAATACTATTCCAATACCATACGTACGTGGGCTGTTTGCTTCGGTCAGAGCTTGCATTCTGTATTTAGAGCCGCAGGTTAAATATATTCCTAGCGCATGTCTATATTTAGAGATCAAGAGACCAAGTCAATCATGATCAGTGCACATAGTCCTAGAATATCGGGAGAAATAGGAATTAAGTTGTTTTTACTGAGTTATCTTTTACTTTAATTGCATACACTTCGCCTATCATAGGCCAGGCTCCCAGTTACCTGACATATCATGAAGCTGAGGACTGTTGTAATGGAAGTTGTGTAGAGAAGCTTGAGCTGTTAGGCTTGTACTTAATATCACCTAGTGAAGCGAGTTGGGAGATTGAAGAGTCTGTAAACTATAGTGGAGAGTTTTTGATTAAACTCACTTAGTATCAGAGCGCTATTCAAACTAATTACTACATCTAAGTGAAGGACACGATTCACTTGTTCATGCCAAATAGTCGGGGGGCTGGTCAATGTATGAGTCGTCATGAATATGGCTAGTAATAATAGAACTTTATTACGTTCCGTGTTAATGCGACTCTTCATTGCCAAGTAGCGCCAATTTCAACAAGGACTGGGACGAAGACTTGGACAGAGGCGAGTTTCCAAAAGGTAGATAAATTACAGTATGATTACCGTCCGAGAGCTCTATTGAGTACATGAGACCCGCTACTATAATCAATGTTGCAATAGCCTATAGTTTTAACATAGCAACTGATCAGTATCTTTAGTAGTGACCGTTGCTATCAAAACACTGTAATCATCGCAGCATATCAACTCTGTTACTGTCAAACAACTAATAGTTTGTGTTGGAATCGTAGTCATGTGCACTCTAATAATAGGTGGAATATGTACAGTGCGGGCTCGTTATAACGATGTGATTCCGTGCCACTATGATGAATGAATGAATGAATGTTTATTCGTGAGGGGCACAAGCCCCGCACTCAAAGAGCTTGACACGGAGATGGAGAGTCCTTCCCCGACGGCTATATACGACAATAACTCAGTTTGACATTTGGACTACTCATGTAGTGAGTGCATTCGTTGATACCACTCGAGACCTTGGAGCTAGGGACCTTCACCCTTCCCTCAACCGTTAATGTCCACCAAAGGGAAAACAAGAAAAACCTTTGGCTACCCTAACATGCC